TATGCCGGGCGTGGTGGCTCACATGCCTTTAGTCCCAGCACTCAGGAAGCAGAGGCAGGAAGAGGTCTGAGCTCAAGGCCAGCCTGGTCTACATGGTGAGTTCCAGGACAGCTGGGACTACAGGGAGGCCCTGTCTCAAAAAAGATAAAAAATAAAATAAAATTACATTTATATATTTATTTTGGCGTGTGTGTGTGTGTGTGTGTGTGTGTGTGCATGAATGTATGTGGAGGTCAGATGACAATTTTCAGAAGTTGGTTCTCTCTTTCTACCATGTGGGTCCCTGGAATTGAACCCAGGTCATCATGCTTACCTAGTCTGCTCAGCTATCTCAGCCCCCAGAGATATATTTTGTTCATCACTGTATACTCAATATTTAATACAACAGTAGGCCCATAGTTAGTGCACAATAAATATTTCTTGAAAAAGAAAAGTGATTTTCTAATGGCACTTTTTGGTAAAATTGGATTAGAAAGTGGGCTCTGACAGTATTAAAAATATTCTTGGACACAGTAGGCAGGTTGGAGCAGTTGATAAGATGGGACTCTACTGAGTTGTTCTGCTCTTACATGCACCTGAACTGCTAGAGGTTTTGAGTAAGTGTGTGACAAAAAGAACTTATTTCCTCATCTCATACCATTTTACTCATCTTTAAGGTTTGTCTATATGACTGGTCCTGTGGTCTCTCTACTCACAAGAGCTCCCAGAGCAGCTTGCTCCATGGGAACCTGGGGTTAGAAAGCCTGGTGATCCCAATTTTTAAAAAAAAATTTATTATTTTTATTTTATGTGTATACGTGTATTGCCTGCATGTAGGTAAGTGCTCCCATGTCATGCAATTCCCAAAGAGATCAGAAGAGGCTGTCGGATCCCCTGGGACTGGAGTTACAGACAGTTGTTAGCTGCCATGTGGATGCTGGGATTTGAACCCAGGTCTTCTGTAAGTACAACCAGTGTTCTTAACCACTTAGCCATCTCTCCAGCCTGATGATTCCAATTTTTATGAGTTGTGGTCACATGTTGCTAGCGGTATCTGCAGGCCTAACTCTACTAGTCTAATTTCTTCTCACTTCAGATTTGGGGTTCCTAAACCTTTCTGCTTTACCTCTTTGCTTCAGAGCCTTGGGACCCTCATTATCTCTGATTTATCCCCCACATTTCAACTCTGTACTGAGTTTTTTAAATTCGTTTTTATTGTGCTTCTGGGGATTGGGCCTAGGCAGGGCCTTTGAGCACTTTCTGTTCTTCCTGAGAACTTGAATTTGGTTCCCAGAAGTCACATGGAGGATCATAACCATCTGTAACTCTAGCTCCAGGTGATCCATTGCCTTCTATTGGCCTCCTTGGACACGAGGCATGCACATGGTGCACACACAGACATGCAGGCAAAATATATTAAGAAAAATCTTTAAAAAATATATAATAGGGGCTGGAGAGATGGCTTGGCAGTTAAGAACACTGGCTGCTCTTAGGTTTGGTTCTCAGCACCCATCACCCATTGGTAACTCTAGTTCCAGGGAATCCAATTCCCTCCTTTCTTCTCAGAGGGCCACCACACCTGGTTCTGGAACTCTTTATAAAGACCAAGCTGGTTTTAATCTCACAGAGATCCACCTGCCTCTGCCTCCCAAGTGCTGGGATTAAAGGTGTGTACCACTACCTGGCCTAAAGTACTCCAAATTTTTGTAGTTACTTGTGGTGGCACACACCTTTAATCTCAGCCTTTGGGAGGTGGAGGCAGGTAGATCTCTGTGAGATCAAGGCCAGCCTGGTTTACATAGTGAATTCAAACAAACATGCCCCCAAAATAGTAGTTCAGGTAGCACTTATATAGAGATGCTATTAGTGGAGATTTTTTGCTTCTCATTGGCCCTACAGTGAGGGGAAAACAGTTTAAAATCCCAGCCTCAATTTGATTCTGCAATGGGCATTAGCTGGAGAGTCATATCAAAATTTACCACCATTCCTTTTTTTTTTTTTTTTTTTTTTTTTTTTTTTTTGTCTTTTTGAAGCAGGGTCTCCCTGTAGCCCAAGCTGTCCTGGAACTCATTATGTAGACCAGGCTGGCCTTGAACTCACAGAGATCCGCCTGCCTCTGCCTCCCGAGTGCTGGGACTACAGGCGTGCACCACCATGCCTGGCTCACCATTCCTTTTTTAAATTGTGTGTGATGGTGTGATGTGCCAAGATGGGATGGGTGTGTGTGTGTGTGTAGCTCAGAGGACAACTTCCAGCCTTCTACCTTATTGAGGCAGAGTCTCTTGTTTTTTCTGTTGCTTAGTTTTGCACTCCAGACTATCTGGCCCATGAATTTACAGATAATCTTCCTGTCTTCACTTCCCATCTCACTGTTGGAGTGCTAGGATTACAGATGCACCCCACTGCATTCATACTTTTCATTGTTTTTATTTATTTATTTTGGTCTTTTAGGACAGCATCTCCCAGTAGTCCCAGTTGGCCTGGAACTGGCTATGTAGACCAGACCTCCAATTTACAGTGCTGGGATTAAAGGCACATGCCACCACACCCACCCGGCTGTTTATTTTTATTTTTTTGGTCTTTTTGAGACAGGATCTTCCTGTAGCCCCAGCTGGTCTGGAACTCACTATGTTGACCAGGCTGGCCTTGAACTCACAGAGATCTGCCTGCCTCTGCCTCCCAAGTGCTGGGATTTAAGGCATGCACAACCACACCTGGCTTTTTAAAAAATACTTATTTATTCTTTTATGTTATGTGTATGAGTTATTGCCTGCTTGTGTGTAAGTGTACCTGTGTCGTGCAATGCCTGAGGAGGACAGAAGAGGGCAGATCCCCTGGAATTGGGCTGTTGTTAACTGCCATGTGGGTGCTGGGATTCAAACCTGGACCCTCTGCAAGAACAGCCAGCTCTCTTAACTACTGAGCCAACTCTACAGCCCTGTTTGTTTATTTTTTGAGATCAGGTTTCCCTATGTAGCCCTGGATGGCCTGGAACTTGCTATGTAGAGCAGCCTAGCCTTGAACTCAGTCTGCCTACCTCTGCCTCCTGAGTGCTGGGACTAAAGGTGTGGGCTACTATATCCTGCCCTGATTCACCCTTTTTTTTTTTTTTTTTTTTTTTTTTTTTTTTTTTTTTGGTCTTTTTGAGACAGGGTCTCCCTGTAGTCCAGCTGGCCTGGACTCACTTTGTGACCAGGCTTGTCTTGAACTCACAGAGATCCACCTACCTCTGCCTCCCAAGTGCTGTGATTACAGGCATGCAGCACCATGCCCGGCTTCCTGATCCACCTTTTTATGAGGGTTCTGAGGATTCAATTCTGGTCTCAGGCTTGTATAGCTAGTGCTTTTACCCACAGAACCATTTCTTGGCTCCTCCCCACTATTCCTTTCCTGTATTGCTACTTAACCATTTCTTTTTCCTGGGAATCTCTTCCAGTGTAGTGAGGAGTTCTGTAGACAGAAGATAAATGGAACTTAAATTGGATGTGGTGGTGCACACCTTTAATCCCAGCACTGAGGTGGTAGAGTCAGGCAGATCTCTGTGAGATGAAGGCCAGCCTGGTTTCCATAGTGAGTTCCAGGCCAGCTTGGGGCTACCGGGAGAGTCTGTCTCAAAAAACAAAAAACAAAACAAAGGAACTTAGATAATAAAGATTCTGGCCTGGGGTTGATGGATCAGCCAGTAAAGGTGCTGACCAAGCCTAGCCTGCCCACTCATATTTAATCCCCCATACAAAGTGCCCAACATGATGGTGCACATCTGTAATCTGAGCACCCTTAACAGTGAGATAAGAGGTTGAGACAGAATTGCCTGGAAGCTCATGGGCCAGCTAGAAAAGATCCTTCCTCAACAAGGTGGAAAAGTGAAAACCCACTTCTGAAAGGTGTCCTCTGACCTCCACATGCTCACCTTAACACCATGACATTTCCACACACACACACACACACACACACACACACACACTTCTTTTCAGTTTCAATAGATGGGCTGAGACAGATTTCAGGTGAAATATCCTTTTTGTTTGTTTGTTTTTGAGACAGGGGCTCCCTGTAGCCCTAGCTGGCTTGGAACTCAGTAGGTAGACCAGGCTGGCCTGGAACTCACAGCCATCCGCCTACCACGCCCAGTGAAATATCCTCTTTTAATGTCAGCCATCCTCAGCAGGAGAAGCTGGGATAGGAGATCCAACAGCAAGCCACAGAACAAAGGAAATTCCTATAGCCTTTAGAGGGGATGGGGGGGTAGTCTGCTCAGTGAAGGTACTGGATAGGCTATAAGGCCTTTACACATGTTGTCTTGTGCCTGGGCAGCAGGAAGGGAATCCTATCCCTCTGAACTACCTTGGGGGCAGTGTGTTATCTTGTGTCTTAGACCTAGGATGGGAGAAACGAGGGCAGGGGATCCCCTCTACAGGGCAGCATCTGTGATCTAACAGAACTAAAGATGAGAACGATTTTACTTTTAGTTTTTAGTCTGACTTACTTCTGGTACAAACCAGGTGTGGTTGGTGGAGATAGTGCAATATGGAAACGTCTAGAGAGAAATGTGGACATAGTATGAGCATTCCCTAATCTAAGATCAACTCCATAGTCTAAGATCAACTCCATAGTCTTATTTGGGTGTGCTCCAGTACTCCCTAAGGTACTGCATCTCACAAAGTTTCTGACGGCAGTCTGGGAGTATAGCTCGGTAGCAGAGTTGTGTTTGCTTGGAGCCCTAGGTTCTCCAGGACCAGGAAAAAAGTTTCTGTGAAATAGTTGCAGGATCACTTTTCGGACACACTGGATGTGGTTGCGATTTTAGATACGGTAAGGGTTTAGAAGGGGACAGTGTGATTGGAAATGTGTTTCTGAAGCTGTTTGTACAAGCTTTCGGTTGAACTGTGTGAGCGTTCAGCCAAGTGGCTGGGGATTGGTGTCCTAAGTAACCGCACTAAGTTCAGTGAGCCCTGATAACAGAACCGGATGAACTACCTAGGAAATCCCACCCTTCGACACCCTCCACTTCCCACCCCACCACCGCGTTCCTTCGGGCGGAGTTTGCCTGTACCCTAAATTGTCCGGCATGAGGTCACTTTGCCCGGTCACGTGCCCCTCCCCTCCGAAGCGCCACATCACCTGCCGCACCCCTCCACCCCCACCACCCACGTGACCCGGCCTAGTTTCTCCGGGCAGGGCCCAACGCTCTCGGGAAACCCCGCCCCGCGCCGCGCTCGGCCCGCGAAGCTCCGCCCCTCACCCGCCCTGGCTCGCGCGTGGCACCGGGCTCCACGTGTTTCTGCCTGTCCAATGAACGTTGGCGGCCGGAGTGAAGCGGCCGGGAGGAAGAAGGCTTGCTTACGTCGCGCCAGGGGGGCGGGGCTTGCAACGTAGGCCAGAACGAGGGGACGCTAAGGAGGCAGGTCGGAGCCGCTGCCGTCGTCGCCATGACCCGTGAGCGCTCGGACCCTTTGCTTTAGTTCTTTTCTTCCCGGTTCCTCTCTGTGCTCGGCTGAGCGCCGGGTTGGGCAGCCCCTCAGCTTCGGCGGCGCCCGTTTCGTCAGGGAGCGCTCTCTAGCCGCCTCCCGCGCAGCCGGAAGCGCAGCCCTCTGCGCGCCGCCACTTCCTGAGACCCCCTCTGTGGGGCGCGGGCCGCGGGCGGTTTCCGCGGTAGGGAAGCCGGGTGACCTGCTGTGGGCGCCCCGCGCCCCGTGAGGCCCTGGCGGTCGCCACACGGCGCCCCAACTGTCCGGGCTCCCTCGCAGCCCCAAACTTGCCAGGCGTCTCAGTAGCCTCGGCCGCACAGTCCTCCCGCACCCCGCAAGTTAACCTACCCATGGCCACTGCCCCACCCCTGCAGCCGAGGCCGCAGATGGCCCGGGACGTGGGGTCTCTGGCTGGCCGAGTTGCGGGAGGAGGGGCGCTGTGTGTGTGTGTGTGTGTGTGTGTGTGTGTGAGTGAGTGTGAGTGTGAGTGTTAGTGTTAGTGTTAGTGTTATCGCCCCGGCGTCTCACTCTCTGCCTTCTCTCCTTAGGCGGTAACCAGCGTGAGCTCGCCCGCCAGAAGAATATGAAAAAGCAGAGTGACTCGGTTAAGGGAAAGCGCCGAGATGATGGGCTTTCTGCTGCCGCTCGCAAGCAGAGGTAGCCCCAGGGAGGGGAGAGGACGGGTCGGGGAGACCTGGGTTAGACCAAGGGTTGTACCAGGAAAGAACTACTTCAGGGATTGGATCTGGACTAGGTGTGTGGGGCAGAGTGCCTTGGTTCCTCTTAGAGTTTGATTTTCTCCCCACTCCAAATTGTTTGGTCACAGCCTTACTGGAAGGGACTGGGGCTGTTCCCCGTCCTTAGGCTGATTTCTGAGTGCCCTGAATGTGACCTTAAGGGTAAGGGCAGGGAGCTTCGCAGATCAAGTACAGTTGTGGTTTGTGACAACCCACTACTTTTTGGCCTTTCCATGCTGCTAGTTTGTCCTCCCTTCTCCCGACTTTTCTTGATAGTGTTGCTGGGTGTGGTATTCAGTACAGAATAGAGAGCCTTGGGCCTGTGGCCAGACTTCTGACCCCTTGGGCAATGGTCAGATGGCGACTGATTGCCTTTTTGAGCCTTAGTTTTATTCCTCTTGTTCTCCTAGGGTGGGCATATAGCAGCCATATGCTGAACTTTGTCCCATCCACTTCCGTCTTATCCTTTGTACCCTTCATCCCCCTGCATCTTGTCCTTTTTACCCTCTGGTACCTCCCAGTGCCCCATCATCTCTACCCCTAGGGACTCCGAGATCATGCAGCAGAAGCAGAAAAAGGCAAACGAGAAGAAGGAGGAACCCAAGTAGCTTTGTGGCTTCGTGTCCAACCCTCTTGCCCTTCGCCTGTGTGCCTGGAGCCAGTCCCACCATGCTCGAGTTTCTTCCTGTAGTGCTCACAGGTCCCAGCACCGATGGCATTCCCTTTGCCCTGAGTCTGCAGCGGGTCCCTTTTGTGCTTCCTTCCCCTCAGGTAGCCTCTCTTCCCCTGGGCCACTCCTGGGGGTGAAGGGGTTACCTCTTCCCAGTGTTTTTTATTCCTGTGGGGCACACCCCAAAGTATTAAAAGTAGCTTTGTAATTCCTTGAGCGCCTGGTTTGACTGGGGATCGGGGGGATGGGGATGGAGGAATGACTGCCCTTTCCCACCAAAAGGGGAGAGCTCTTATAGATTCCTAAGGGAGAGATTGCGGAATTGTAGACTTCGTAAATTAAACATCACAGAAGCAGCCTTCATTTTACTATGACAACCAGAAAAGCACTCCAGTTATGTGGTAGAGGAATCCTCCAAGAACCATAGAGACTTTTCTGTGATTTTTGTCCTCTGAGACCTTGAGCACCATCCTCAGGATGGAGTTGAGGGCCTAAGAGGGAAGGATCTAAGACCTAAGTTTGTCTCTCTTCCTCATTCTTCCTCAGTTTGTTTGCTAGAAAGGTGGCCAAGAAAAATCCTCCTGCTCTTAAGTGTTCACATTCTCTTTTGTTCTGTCATTCCTTGTGGAATGAAGGTGGTTTTTGTCTTCCATTTCCTTTGACCTCAAGATGAGGATTAAAACCTGTGGTAGCCTCTGTTCCTTTCTTCCTGTGCCCTGGTTTGTTCTGTGGTTCTGGGCTTCTTACATCCCTGTGCCCGGGGCTGAAGTGCTTATTTTCCTTTTTAATGCCAAGAGCAGATCCAAGTCTAGTTTCTGTTGGTATTTCCCTGCCCCCAGCTCCAGCAGCCAGGAAAGGGGCTGGTGCCACCCTGTCTGCTAGTAACAGCTGAGGTTCCTGAGCTGACTTGAGAGTTAGGTTCTTGAGCAGGAATGAAGACACTACATAGTGTGAGTTAAAAAATTAGAGTGTGTTTGGCCACTTCCAATTTAGATACAGTATTAAGCCTAAGGGGGAGATAAATGTTCATTGTGGCCTTGAGATACTGAGCTTGGGCTTGATAGCTCTTGGAGCCAAGACTAGGCATAACCTGCAGGGAATCCTAGTTTGTTAAAATAATCTGTTGGAGGCTGTTTTTCACCTGGCAGTACTGATACTGGTGGCAGCATTGCCTGAAGGTAAGAGGGGCTGGCGATTCTGAGTGGGGAGCCAACAAAGTGGTACCAGTAACAGCCCCTGGTGGAGTAATACTCAGGCTCAGCTTACTTTTGTAAAGGTCTTTTCCAGGTCTCTACCCCCCCTAATAGCTGTGAAACCAAAGACCAGTTAGAGATACATACAGGGCCTTCACTTTTAGAATGCCCTGCTTCCCCACAACCCTGGTAGACCCTAAGAACCCTTTGGAATGGCCTAAAAGTATGTCTACTTCCAGCCTGCCTGAACCTTTTGGTAAGGATAACCATGATGTAGAGTGAAACAGGGAAGAAGACAGTGGAAAGCAGAACAGCTGTATGAAAGTTGCTGGTTTTGCACTGAGAAGCTGGAGGGGTCTCTTGCATAGTTGGCCTGGCTGTGCTACTTTGCTCGAGAGAGAGAGAGGGAAGGGCTAGTGGGAAGCAATGGTGCTAAAACTACCCTCCCTATTTCTTTTATGAAGACTCTTGAGGGCTCTTTGGTACTTATGGGTTCAGCTGTTTCTTAGACTGCTCACTTGACTCACCATTCTCTGATTCCACTGTTTGGGGGCTGCAGAAACAGTGTTTCTGTAAACAAGGCAGTAGCATGTTTTGGAATGGCTTCAAGAGAATGAGGGTACTAATCTAGGGAATTTTCCCTTTGAAAATACTGGCCTAGTGTAAGAAGTGGAGGCACACTTGGGTTCAAATTCTTCATCTAGCATATAACTGGCTATGCAAACTTTGGTACGATGTTTAATCTTTTGTGCCTCAATTCCTCCATTTGTGAAATGGAGCAGATACCTACCTCACAGGGTTGTTGTGAGGATTAAATTAAATGCGATTATGTATGTAAAGTATCTTAGCACAGTGCCTACCTAGCACATTGTAGGTACTCAATAAAAGGTAATAGCTAGAATCTGAACATTCTGGGTAGAGGTTGGTAGGGTGTGTGTCTGTCTGTGTGTGCTGGGGGGAGGCATATTGGGGATATTGAGCTCTTGGTGCTCACCTGGAACTTGGAACTTTGATGGTCCACGAGGGCCGAAATACCTCAGCCAGGTAGGAAGCCTGGTTGCTGTGAAAGAAGAGTTATTTGGGCCAAATAGGGATTGGGGGCATTTACTGTTACCTAGTCTGTATTGGTACCTTTTGGAGCGTATTGTGCTCCCAGAGGCCCCTAAAGTCTGCACATTTTTAATTCTCAAGTCATTCTCTCCTGCCCCTGTCATTTCATACAGATCATCTGACAAAGTGCTATTCTTAGACATTGTCCCTGTTTGTGGGGAGCCTCTGGTTCTAGTCTTGCTCTTAAGATTTAAACCACAGTTTTAGACATTCTGACTATCCTTCACAAAGTCCTGGGCATCCTTTCACATCTTTGATCCGTTGACACCTTTGCACAAAGCAGAAAGCATGCAAGCTACTTGATGCTAGTACTCAACATTGCTACTGAAATGTCTGGTGTTTGTGGATCCATTTCACTCAGGCCAGGAAGGTACAAGGTGAGATTCTGTCCTTGAAGGGTTACTGGTGAGGGACAACAAAAGAGAAAAGTATTTAGAACAAAGTTGGGTATTTAGTAGGAGCAGAAAAGGACTACCAGCACTGGTATCTGCATCCTTACCTGTCTCTGGGGATGATTTGACAGTGCAGAGGAAGTCAAATACATGATATAGCAGCTCATGATAGAGGCTTGGAGAAGGCCAGAGTAACTGCTTTGGGGTTGACAGGGTGGTAATTTCCTCGATATTTTGCACTTGGGTCTTATTCTGTCCTTTGAGGGGTGGGGTGGAGGTTCTTTTATTAGGATTGGGAAGGCTAATGAACTTTGCAATAATACTGAAAGGAGCTCACCCCACATGCAGATCTGGAATGTTGTGTGGCTTATATCCACTGAGGTGGATGTTTGGAGCAATGGAGAGGAAAGAGGCCACAGAAGCAAAGATGAAGGTAGACTAGGCAACATCTTGAGCAGGCAAATATTGGGGTGTATGTAGTGGCAAAACAGCTTCCTCACCTGCCATGCTGTAGTGTCTTAGGATGGCCAGAAACAGCCAGGAACCAGCTGTCCAGGGCTGTACCTGTCTGCCTAAAGAGGAGAGCAGTGGGTAATGGTTTGGAGTTCCAACTCTGTTTTCACCCATTACTATTCTCCTTTTCCCAGAAGATACTGATTAGTCAGCACACTGGCCTACAGTTGCTCTACCTCTTTAGTGCTGGGATTAAAGGTGTGTGCCACCACGCCTGGCCTCATTTACTACATTATTTTTAAAAATACATTTATATTTTGGGGCTGGAGGCAGGATTTCAAGAGTTCAGGGTCAGGGCTGGAGAGATGGCTCAGTGGTTAAGAATACTGACTTACTGCAGAAGACCCAGGTTGGAATCCCAGCATCCACATGGCAGCTAACAACTGTAACTCCAGTCCCAGGGGATCTGACAGCCTCTTCTGACCTCTGCAGACATTGCACGACTCGGGTGCACTCGCATGCAGGCAATACACGCATACACATAAAAAAAAAATTGATATTTTATGAGTGTATTTCCTGCCTTAGCGTAAATCCACTTATGTTGTCCAGTGCCCACGGAGGTCAGAGGAGAGCGTCGGAACCCCTGGAACTGGAGTTAAGGACGGTCATTAGCAGCCACCGTATGGAGGTTTGGAATCAAACCTGAGTCCTCTGAACGGCCAATGCTTTTAAAACCTGTGAGCCATCTCTCCAGCCCCAGTTGTTATATTCTTGAGCTTTTGTGGTTTTTGTTTTGAGATAGGATCTTGCCATGTAGTCCAGGCTGGCCTTGAACTCAGTATCTAGTTCAGACTGCCTTGAATTATTTTTCTTTTTTTAGTATTCTATGTGTATGAGTGTATTGCCTCCATGTATGTGAGTGCACTCGTGCAATGCTGTGGAGGTCAGAAGAGGGCTTTGGATTCCCCTGGAACTGGAGTTAAGGACGGTTTGTAGCCACCATGTGAGTGCTGGGAATCAAACCCTGGTCCTCTGCAAGAGCAGTCAGTGCTCTTAACCACTGAGCCATCTCTCCAGCCCCGACCCTGAACTCTTGACAATCCTGCCTCAGCCTCTTGAGTGCTGAGATTCTGAGATTACAGGTGGGTGTCATGTCACCATTTTTTATTTTACGTGTATGAGTGTTTGTGTATAAGCACACATGTGAGTGCAGTGCCCACGGAGGCCAAAAAGAAGGCATTGGACCCACTGGGACTGGAGTTAAAGATGGTTGCTAGCCACCATATGGGGACTGAGAACTGAACCCTGGCCCTCTGTAAGAGCAGCCAGTACTTTTAACTGCTGAGCTCCTGGTATCACCATTCTTTAAAAAAAAAATATGAGTGTGTTGCCTGCATATATCTGAATGCACATGTATGTGTCGTCCAATGCCAGAAGAGGGCTTCAGAGTCCCCTGGAACTGGAGTTAAGGACAGTTCCTAGCTGCCATGTGGATGCTGGGACTTGAACCTGGGACCTCTGCAAGAGCAGTCAGTGCTCTTAACCACTGAGACATCTCTAGCTATTCTTGACTACCTGTTGCCATATATGCACCGCATACCCCCACTTACTTTGTAAACCAGGCTGGCCTTGAACTGACAAAGGCCCACTTGCCTCTGCTTCCTAAATTCTAGGATTTAAGAGATTAAGAGATTTCACTTTTTTTTTTTTTTTTTGAGATAGAGGCTCATGTAGCCCACACTGGCCTTGAACTCTCGATCCTCCTGTTTCTACCTCAGTGCTGGGATTAAAATTGTTATAACTTGCTTCCTGAGCTTTTTGGTACTGCTCATTGAGAGACCATGGGGCAGTACCTTCAGTGCCCTTTGCGCAGACTTTGTCTATTCCATAATGCCAGTCAAACCTCCCCAGGAAGAGCCTTTATGGTTAAGTGCTCCTTATCAGTTCTTGTTCTGGAGTGGGCAGAGGCTATGATAACCACTAACTGTAATAGGATGACTGTGAAACCTCCACAGATGCCAATGCAGTAAATGCCAAGCTGAAAGATGGGCACCAGTGGGAACTTTTAACTGGACATATCACCACTATTAACCCCCCCCCATCACCCCCAAGAGTCTTGCTGTGTATTAAAGTCTGGCCTCAAACTCCAGTCCTGCTTCAGTCTCTTCTGAGTGCTGGGATATCAGGTGTGGCACCACGACCAGCTTTCTACCACTTTTTCAGAAAGTCTTTTAAAGCTAATCTTTCTGGTCAGGCTGTAAGGTGAAGAGTACCTGCGAAGAGATGCTTATGGATGCAGAAGGCACCAGTACACACACCTAACAGGAACAGCAGCTTGAGGCTCCAGAACCTAGTTAGGGAGAGAAAACCAAATCAGTAGAAAAGGCAAAGAAGTGAAGAGTAAAAGGGAAGGGAAAGTATGGAAAGAAGGCAGAGAGGAAACTAAATATAGGAAAGGAGGAACCAGTCTTAAATCCCATTGTATTCCAGATTCTTAAAGACCTAAATAATGTTTGCAAATTGTTACCTCTACTTTTGAGACTAGGAGCTCAGTGTTGTAAAGTGGCTCATGGCCATATAACAAGTACTGGGAAACAGGACTTAAAAACCGGTTTTCTGCTTTTACTTCATCCTGGAGTTTAACCAGTTTGTGTCTACTTTCCTCTGTCCCATCCCCATCCCAAAATTACACACCTACCTGTTATGCAGCTGTGCAGAGGGCTAGTCGGGGGAGTGGAGGTGGACCAGTGTAGCAGGAGGAAGGTGGCAGTTCTTGGACATAGTCTGTACCAGCCCCTGAGCCACTGAGTACCAGACAGTTCAGAGTGACCGAACAGGTAGAGAACACGGCAGGCATTTGGATCTGAGGGAATTTGGTTGTGAAAAATGGCAAGTCAAAGTGCATGGAATGGTGCCAACTTCTCAACTGTTAGGTCTATTTTGCCCCTTGTGCCCAATCCAAATATTTTATTGGTCTTTAATCTTTTCCTCATTTTTTGTTTTTGAGACTGGGTCTCACTATATTGCCCTGGCTGGCCTGGAACTCATTATAGAGATCTGCCTGCCTCTGCCTTCTGAGTGCTGGAATTAAAGGGGTGTTCACTAAGGCTATTTTCCTTCCTTTGCAACACCCTTCCCACTACCCCCACTTACTTTGCCCCAGGCCTGTATTCTACTTTGTCACTGTAGTAGACAGCAGACGGCAGCAGATTGCTAAGGCCCCCATGGAGGAGGATGTGGAGCTGGCAGATCCAAGTAGGTTCTGGGAGGGGCCCACCTAGAGTGGCAACATTTGGGGTGGGGCTCACAGCAAGACACCTGGAGATCAGAGCAAATGGACAGCGAGGCAGAAATTGGTTGAGGAAAGGCATACACTAATGTATGTGTGGGGTTAACCAGAGGTTGAATTTCAAAGCCTTTGCAATGTCTGTAAGCTATTTAAGGTTTCCTGCTAAACACTAGCAGGATTTTCATCGAAGGCACTTGAGCCATCTATGTTCTTAACCCTTCGTCTAGGAATGTGGGAAGAGGTTTATTGATTACTGAGGCAAAGAACAAGAGGGACAAAAGGAAAGGCTTTCTTTATTGTCTTCTGCAGGTTTGTCTCCCCAGCTTCAGTCATCCCATGCCTCCAGTTTTTCAGCTATCTCTTGTTAAGGGAGCTTCAAGCCTGTCTCCCAAGCATCCTCTCACCTGATAGAAGGGAATTTTCACTAAAACATCGCTGACTTCACGGTGCTGCTGTGCCAAGCACAGGAAAACGTTGGGGTCTGTGACAGCTTTTGCACTCGGTATCTTTGTCCCTGGGGTTTTAAGTAGGTTCACCACGGGAAAGGTAGATGAGGAAGTAGCAGCTTAACGGTTTTAGCTTATTGGACTGTTGCTTTGCCAGGCTAATCATTTTCAGAAGATCACCATGAAGTGGTAAATGCAAATGCCCTTGTGAGGCTGCCTTTGCCAGGCTTCAGACATGGGGTCATTCGGGCTGTGTTCCGAGTTTGGGAGCTATTTGTCTAGCCTTCCGGGGAATTAGGTTTTTTTAATTGGTTTAGGATTAGACGTAAACCATTCTGGTTGGACAGAATTCCTTGGTGGGTGTATATGAGGGGCTTGTTCCTGGGTGAAGAGGAAGGTTGTGCATTGGGGTGGTGTGGGTGGCTAACAGATAAGTTATAGGAGATTGCAGAAAACACTCCAACCCCCGAAAGGAAGTCAGAAGCGAACCGCCAGTTCCGAAGCTTCCCCAGGCGAACACAAAGGTGTGGTCCAGCGCCTGTCCCGCCCCTTCCCTGGGTGGAAACTAAGCGTTACCGGAAGTTGCGAGGCGGGTTCCTATGCGGCGGCACGGCGTGATCGAAATGGCGACAGAGGGAGATGTAGAGCTGGAGTTAGAGACGGAGACCAGCGGCCCGGAGCGGCCTCCGGAGAAGCCACGGAAGCATGACAGTGGTGCAGCTGATCTGGAACGGGTCACTGACTATGCAGAGGAGAAAGAGATCCAGAGTTCCAATCTGGAGACGGTGAGCTTGGGCAGCTCGTCTTAAGAGTTTGAGAACCGGGTGGGGGTGAGGCTAAGTCTCGTGGCGTGTCCACCGCTGTTGTGGGAAGGAGGCTGTAAGGTGAGGCGGCTAAGCGAGCCTGAGGTTTACTCACAGGAGCTTGGCGGAGATTGCGCCTAAATGGATCTCAAGTGCCTAGAATTGTGGGTAGCAAAGCAGAAGATAACTAGACTGGTCTTTCCTATAGGCTATGTCCGTCATTGGAGATAGACGGTCCAGGGAGCAAAAGGCCAAACAGGAGCGGTAAGTCTAAAGCAAACAGCCACTGTTACCAGCCCCTATACTCCAACAAACAAGTTTTAAGTCTTTCCCCAGTTCCTGCAGATCTTGGGTTTACAGCTTTGTTTTTAGTGGAAGGAAAGCCTCCTGGCCACCTTCCAAACCTCTATAATAGAAGATGGGCACGTTATTTTAGGTCAACATTGTTCATCAGGAGTCAGTCATTTTAATTAAGGTATAGCTGGGAACGAGCCTTCCTTAGGCAGAATGAAGACTGATGGTGTATATAAATATTTGCAGGGAGAAGGAACTGGCAAAGGTTACAATCAAGAAGGAAGATCTGGAGTTGATAGTGAGTAGTAATGCTTTAATGTCTGCACAAGGGAAGTACTGCCTAATTTGGGGTGTTTTTTTGGAGACAGGGTCTCCCTGTAGCCCCAGCTGGCCTTGAACTCACAGAGATCCACCTGCCTCTGCCTCCCTGATTAAAGGCATGTGCCACCATGCCCTGCTGGGTTGTTGCTTTTTTATAGAAATTTTATATTTTATTTTTTGTATATTGCCTGCATGTGTTTAAGTGCATCTGTGTTGTGCAGTGCCCTCGGAGGTCAGAAGAGGGTGTCAAATCCCCTGGAACCGGAGTTAACAGTTGTTAGCTGCCATGTGGGTGCTGGGATTCAAACCTGTTAAGAGCAGCCAGTGCTCTTAGCATTGAGACACTTCTCCAACCTCCGAGTTGTTTCTGGAAGTGGAGACATAAGTTTGTTGGTATGTTTATGCCTGGGATGTGGCTTAGGTAATGTGCTATCTTTTTTTTTTTTTTTTTTTTGCAGATGACAGAGATGGAGATCTCTCGGGCAGCAGCAGAAAGGAGCTTGCGGGAACACATGGGCAATGTGGTAGAGGCTCTTATTGCCCTAACCAATTGATAATGTGCTTTTTCAGGCATTTTCTGGACTAACTTATTAAAATAAAAAATTTTATCATCTTGGATCAAATGAGCTATGTATTGTTTTGCTGGGCATTGATATTGGACCTTTCACAAACCCATGTGAACAATCAAGTGTAGAAAAGTACCTAATGTTCAAATACAAGCTCTGAATTTTTTCTTATTTTTATGTGTGTGGACACATTTCTGCCAGTGCTTGTTCAGAGGTCTGAAGACATCTTGTGGTGCTCTACTTCCATCATATGGGTTCCAGGGTGTACATTTGGATCCTCTGCAAAAGATCCAAGTGCGTGCATCTCCGGGATAGTGTATTTCATTTTTTCCTTTTGATATTCTTACTATATAGCCCAGGCTAGTATCAAACTCAGATTTCCCTACTATCACTTCTTGAGTGTTGTGATTATAGCTACCATTCCCAACTCTCCAGGATAGCTAAGAAATACTGTTTCTGTTAGCACCCCAGTTCACATGCTGCTGGAGTAAAGCATGTTAACTACATGTGGGAACATAAATTATCAAAATGATAGATTAGGGCTGGGGAGATGTCTTAGTAGGTAAAGTGCCTCCCACAGAAGCACGAGGTCTTGAGTTTGAATCCTAAGAACCCTCCCCCCGCCCCCCCAAAAAAGCCAGAGGTGGTGGCATGCTCCTGTACCCCCAGCACTGGGGGTGGGCTGAGAAGGGCAACCAGCCTAGCCTAATCATGAGCTTCAGGTTTAGTGAGAGACCCTGTCCCAAAATGCAAGGGTAGAGAGTGACAGAGGAAAATGACCCAATAGTGACCTCCAGTGTCCATGTGCATAAACAGGTGTACATAGTGCCCGTAACACAAGTTTTTTGGGACTTTCTTGCAGTAGGATCTTGAGATATAACCTAGGCTAGACCTGAATTTGTGATCTGTGGAGTGCTTATCATTTATCCATCTATGTCATCTATATCTATCTGGAATATATATATTCCATGATTAAAACGTCATTGAAAAATTGACACCAGGGCCAGGTGTAGTGGCCCATGCCTTTAATCCCTGGAACTGGAGTTAAGGACAGTTGTTAGCCACCATGTTGATACTAGGAACTGGGCCCAGGTCCTCTGTAAGAGCAGCTGGTGCTCTTAACTGCTGAGCCATCTCTCTGGTCCCTGAGCTACACCTATTTTACAAGTCAGTGTTTGTATTATACAAGCTACAGTTTAGAGAACAAGTGTAATCAAGTGATCAAGTGCATCTGAATTTGCTCACAGAATGAATCTGGGCACTACTTAATTCCTGTGTAATACCTAAGTTTCTGAAATCAAAGGATGCTCAAAATACAAATTAGTAAGGATTGTGAATATTATCTGGTTGAGTGTTTAGCATATGTAAAGTCCTGGATTTAATTTCCAATGTGCAGGTGGTGGGCACTGGGACACTTGTGAGCCTGGTGGTGCACATTTGTAATTTCAGCTACTTGGAAAGCTTGGGTAAGAGGATCTGAAACTCGCATTTATTGTATGTATGTGTATGTATGCACATATGCCGCACTGCTCAGGTGGAAGAGGAAAATTTGTGGGAGTGGGTTTCCTACTGCCACCTTGTGGGTCCCTGGAATTAACTCAGGTTCAAGTAACTTTACCCAATGATCCATTTTGCTGGCCTAGGATCTTGTTTGTATATTTGAAGTCTGGGAGTATAGCTTGGTGGTAGAGCACTTGACTAGCATACACCAGGCTCTGGGTTTAAACCCTAGTTTAGGGGAGGGGAGAAAAAAAAAAACCTGACAACTTCCCTGCTACCCTGAGTCAGAGCCACTTCAGCCTAGCCAGCCATGCAGGCCTGACCCACAGCAAAGCCCCTGCTCCCCGACCTCACTTTTTCTTCCTCTTTCTTGTCTTTTTTTGAGACAGGGTTTCATGTAGTCTAGGCTGGCCCTGAACTAGTGGCCAAAGATGACTGAATTCCTAATCTTGCTGCTACTTCCCAAGTGTTGGAATTATAATGTGCCACCATGCCTGGCTAGATGTTATTTTAAATATTTTATTTATTATATTTATGTGTATGAATGAGTGTTATGCTTACATGTAGCTAAGTGCACCCGTGTCATGCAAAGCTCATGGAAAACAGAAGAGGCTGTTGGACCCACAGGAACTGGAGTTATGGACAGTTGTTGGCTGCCATGTGGGTGCTGGGATTTGAATCTGGGTCTTCTGCAAGAATGGTCAGTGTTCTTAACTGCTGAGCCATTTCTCCAGCCCACTATAAGTTATTTTAATTATTAGATTGTTAATGGCTGTTAGTTTCTACATTTTGTTTCCAATATTATGTTAAAAATATTTCCATCTCAAAAAGACCAAAAAAAAAAAAAGAAATCCAAAGCCGGGCGTGGTGGTGCACGCCTATCGTCTGAGCAATTGGGAAGTAGAGGCAGGTGGATCTCTGTGAGTTCGAGGCCAGCCTGGTCTACGTAGTGAGTTCCAGGACAGCTGGGGCTACAGGGAGACCCTGTCTCAAAAAGACAAAAGAAAAAAAAATTTTCCAGTGAGGGACTGGAGAGATGGCTTAGTGGTTAAGAGTGCTTACTGCTCTTACAGAGGATCCAGGTTCAGTTCCCAGCTCCACACCACACATGGTAGCTCTGGTGTCCTTTTCTAGTCTCCCTGGTACACATAAACATATGTGCAAGCAAAATACTTTTACAGATTAAATAAATTTTTGGAAAAAATTCCCAGTGTGGTTCTTTTATTACACACACACATACACACACACACACACACACACAGATTAAAAAGTATGTTTACTTAGAAAAGTTCACTTAACCCCCAAAATGCAAAAACATGTACTGATGTACTGAGCTTAGTTCCTAGTATACCACTCCTACCCTTAAGGTAGAAGTAATGTATTGTCCACTTATATGCCCGAACTTCTGATCAAGTGAAGGAGCTGGAAAAAGAACTCAGAACAGTCCCAAGTCAATATGGGAAGCCACAGTAGAGAAGCTTAAGATTTCTCAAAGTTTTCAGTGAGAAGCCTCTAATCCTACCTGGTTAGTGCTTTTCTGTAGGGTTTTCATTATCAGTCCAACCTCTCAAAAAGCACCTTCAAACAGGTTATGGTAGTTAAGTCCAGAAGGCTCTATACACGAACTATGTAAATAATGGTTAAAGAAAATTGAGAATCAGATGCTGAGACATTCCCTTGTGTCCCACAGTTGGAATAAGTTGAAGCCTAGGTGGTTTTCCGCTTTTTGGCAGATGGTCGTTCAAATACATCACGCACCCCAGCTGCCTTTTGTTTAAAGAACTTTGTGTTCTGGGCACTCTCTTGGCCCCATGCAGAGTCAAAGGAAGTGGTATCTTGATCCACAAGGTGGGTGTACTTGGTACGACCAGAACGTCCAAAATTTTTGACCTGAAGGAAGGATGGATGAGTTTATAACACCAAGCATACAATGCATCTGCCCTCAATCCATTTTTCCATTATCAGTGGTCCCCATACCTGCATGACTTTTGGAAGAATGGTTTTGTTGAAATGGTCCTCAAGGGTAGGTGCACTGAAGTCTCTCTTGTATACTTCTTCATCTTCATCCTGTAGAAAACAATCTTACCAGTCTATGGCTTTATTTCCCAAATGTATTAACCACTCAAACCACAAATGTATTAAATGCAACTATAAAGAACACCCATGAAGCAGAAGGTACCAAGCCTTTCTTCAAGAGCTTACATCTCCTTGTGTGTATGTTTTCTAGTTAATATTGTTTCTTCTTCCTAAGCGTTGATACCACCTAAAAGCTTATTCTTTGTATTCACTGTGCTGTTCATTTCATGCATCTTCAACTCTGAAAGTCTTTAAAAATCTTCAGTCCTAAATTTCCTGCCTTATATGTGTATCTTTTCTTGGATATTGTACTGAAATATCTTGAGTGAAAATCATTCCAACATTTCCAAATCTGCCTCTTTTTCTCATTTCACTTTTTTTCACAGGGAGTATCACCATTCTCTCAATGATCCAGATGCAAAACTTGAGTACTTCTATGAACAGTTACCACATTCTATAATGCATCACCTGGATTATAAGATTTTTTTTTTTTTTTTTTTTTTTTGACTAAGGGCCCCCTTGTAGTCCCCGTTTTCCTGGAACTTACTATGTCGACCAGGCTGGCCTTGAACTCACAAAGATCCACCTGCCTCTGCCTCCCAAGTGCTGGGATTAAAGGAGTGTGCTACCACGCCCGGCTGGATTATTAAATTTTTAACACAAGCCATCATACCACATTGTTTCTAAAATGCAATTCTCATTTCTGCCTTTCTCAAAAATATCAGTGATTTCTTTTACCTGGGTTATTCTGAGATAGGGGCTCATATATATATGGCCTAAACTCACTTGGAACTTGTATTCCTTCTTCCTGCCTCCCTGGGATTATAGGTGTGTGCCATACTAATGCCAGTCTTTTGTTCTTTTTCTTTTTGAGACAGGATCTCCATTTAGCCAGGCTGGAACTTGATGTAGCTTTGAACTCCTCATTCTCCTGCCTCTGCCTCATAAATACTGAGATTACAGGTGTCTACTGCATCTGAAAAAAACTCTTGTTTTGGATACTGGGGATTGAACCTTCACATATTCTAGGCAAGTCTCTGCCACTAAGCTAGATTCCTAGCCTCATGCCATTTTTTTCTTCTTTTAATATTCTTCAATATAATACCAGGTGTTACAGTACTTTCATATATTTGCCTTAACCCCTCATCATTTTCCCTAGATAGGGTCTCACTATGTAGCCTAGGCTGGCCCCTATAATGCTGTAAGCCTACACAGGACTTGAACTTGCTATCCTCCTGTTCTGACTTTTTGAGTAGCTGGATTATAAAACTGGGTTCTACCAGGCCTCAGTTGCCTCTAATTCTTGTTTCTCCTGAGACCTGGAATTATATAGCACAGCTCTGGAACATTCTTTTGCTTTCACTACAGAAAAGCTCACTGTGGCAGTCTGGAGAGATGGCTCAGCAGTTAGAGTATTGGCTGCTCTTGCAGGAGACCCAGGTTCAATCTCCAGTACTCACATGGTGGCTAAAAAATATCTGTAACTTGCCGGGCATGGTGGCACACACCTTTAATCCCAGCACTTGGGAGGCAGAGGCAGGCGGATCTCTGTGAGTTCAAGGCCAGCCTGGTCTACATAATGAGTTCCAGGACAGCTGGGGCTATAGGGAGACCCTGTCTCAAAAAGACAAAAAAAAAAATATATATCTAACTCAAGTTCCAGGGTATCCCATGCCCTCTTCTGACCTCTGCTGGTACCGCACAACACAAGTGCACTTAGATACATGCAAGCAATACACTCATAAACATTAAATAAAATTAAAAAAAAAAGAAAAGAAAAGAAAAGAAAAGCTCACTGTAAAGGTAGGACAGTTAAATAGTTTTTTATATGAACTATTAATCTCCTTCAGGTCTGAAAACATTAGTACATACATACCTTTTAAAATTTTATTGCCGTGTGTGGTCACACACTCCTTTAATCCCAGCACTCCAGAGGCAGAGGCAGACAGATCTTTGTGAGTTCAAGGCCAGCCTGGTCTACATAGTGAGTTCCAGGACAGCTGGGGCTACCAGGAGACCCTGTCTCAAAAAGACCAAAAAAAAAAAAAATTTTATTTTTATGTGTTTAAGTGTAGTCTGCAGGTATCTAGGTGCACTCATGTCTTGCAAAGCCCATGGAAGCCAAAAGAGGGCATTGGATCCCCTGGAATTGGAGTTACAGAAGGCTATTAGCCACCATGTGGTGCTAGGAATGGAACCAGGGTCCTCTGCAAGAGCAGCCAGTGCTCTTAACAACTGAACCATCTCTGCAGCCCCAACATACATATTTTTTGAGACAAACTCCCAACCTCTGCCCCCTGAATGCTGGAATTTGCATGTGCTTCCAAAAATAAATTAATTTTTGTCTTTTTGTGACAGTCTCCTTGTAGCCCCAACTGGCCTGGAACTGAAGATCTGCCTGCCTCTACCTCCCAAATGCTGGGATTAAAGGTGTGCACTACCACGCCGGGCTCTTCATTTCCCTTTTTAAGGAATCATTACTGGTATTAATTCAAATAAGTCCAAGCTGGGCAGATGACACATGCCTTTAATCTGAGCACTTGGGAGGCAGAGGCAGAAGGATCTCTGTGAGTTCAAGGCCAGCCTGGTCTACATAGTGAGTTCCAGGACAGCTGGGGCTACAGGGAGACCCTGTATCAAAAAAAAACCCAAAAAAAAAAAAAAAAAAAAGAAATAAGTCCATGTCACCTAATATAGGGTTAAATGACTGCTATGTTTGCCTTTGTCTTTACATACGAAGAACAAAGACAATAGCATTCTACACAAGGGTGAAATAATGAGTCATTCTTTTGGATAATTAGGCTCAGTCACTTTCTATAACCTCAGAATGAAGTGCTACCCAAATATGAATTATCATGGAGCTGTTTGAAAAGCTTTGTTTTCATATAAACAAAACTCAATTGGGCATAAAATGATTTAAAAATTTTTGTTTTAATTATTTTTTAAAAATATTTTTATTTTATGTGTATGCATGTATTGCCTGCATGTAGGTAAGTGTACCCGTGTGGTGCAACGCCCACAGAAGACAGAAGAGGCTGTTGGATCCCCTGGAACTGGAGTTATGGACAGTTGTTAGCTGCCATGTGGGTGCTGGGATTCAAACCCCGGTCTTCTGCAAGAACAGTCAAGTGTTCTTAACCGCTGAGCCATCTCTCTAGCCTTATTTATTTATTTATTTATTTATTTATTTATTTATTTATTTATTTATTTATTTATTTATTTATTTATTTATTTATTTATTTATTTATTTATTGTCTTTTTGAGACAGTGTCCTTGAACTCACAGAGGTCTACCTGCCTCTGCCTCCCAAGTGCTGGGATTAAAGACATGCACCACCACACCCAGCTATTTTTTTTTTTTTAAAAAAAAAACTTAATCCTGTGGTTCTTGAGCATGAATTTTACAGATGACAATGTTATATCGGAATGTCAAAAGGTTGGGAATGCCTGTAAGTTATTCCTACTGCCCAATGTTCTGACTCCCCTTTCACTTACCATGAAGAAGGCACCCCGGTGATAATACTTCTGTAAAAACTTGTATTTGCCCTTAACCGCTTTGTTGGTAATAACTTTGCCATTTGCCCGAAGCTCAGCCCGCCTTTCTTCCTCAGTCAGATTTCGCATGCGTTCAATTTCTGCTTTTTCCTTTTCAAGCCTATCCAGAGAGCAAAAGTATTAGTATTTCTTCAACTACATAAAGGCCCAAATATCTGAAAACAGCACTCCCATCTTTTAGTCATTATTCACCTTTTCAAATTTCATTCATTAACTCATTCATAGAGAGTCTTGTTATTGTAGCTGGGCTAGAAATCTCAACCCTTGCCAGCATGGTGGTGCACACCTTTTTAAAAAAATTTTTAGCCAGGCATGGTGGCGCACACCTGTAGTCCCAGCACTTGGGAGGCAGAAGCAGGCGGATCTCTGTGAGTTCAAGGCCAGCCTGGTCTACATAATGAGTTCCAGGACAGCTGGAGCTACAGGGAGACCCTGCTTCAAAAAGACAAAAAAAAAATTTTTTTTTAATTATTTTTATTTTATGTGTATGTATGTATTGCCTGCATGTAGGTGAGTGCACCTGTGTCGTGCAATGCCTTCAGAGGTCAGAAGGGGGGCGTCAGGAGCCTCTGGAACTGGAGTTACAGATGGTTGTTAGCTGCCATGTGAGTGCTGGGAATCAAACCTGGGTCCTTTGCACAGAAGAGGCTACAGGATCCCCTGGGAATGGAGTTACGGACAGTTGTTAGCTGCCATGTGGGTGCTGGGATTCGAACCTGGTCTTCTGCGAGAACAACCAGTGTTCTTAACCACTGAGCAATCTCTCCAGCCCTGGTGGTGCACACCTTTAATCCCAGCACTCAGGAGGTAGAGGCAGGCAGATCTCTATGAGTTCAAGGCCTGTCTGGTCTACATAGTGAGTTCCAGGCCAAGATAGGCTCATGACATTACATCTTTAGTACCTTGTTAGAAGTCAAGACCATGAGCCTAATAAACAGAGATGATTTGTTCTTCATTATTAGGTTTGCCAGATTCAGTACTGTAAACTTCTAAAAGTTGAATCTAGTACTGCTTGATTTTGCAAAAATACCAATTCTTCTTCCCTAAAATGCCTTCTTAGCTTTAAAAACAAAACCAGAATGAATTCAAAACAACTGTTTAAGACTTTGCTGATATACTGTAATCATAATGTGCTTGTATGTCACAACTTAAGCATTACCAAAATTAAATTACAGTGGTTTTAAACCTTTTTCTAGGGAGAAAGGGAGGTCATAGTCCCTTTCTACAGAAAAATGCACATGTTTACATAATTTTACATTGAAGACCAGCATAAGAGTTGGGAAAATTGCCCATTGTGTAAATTGCCTTGCTTGCAAGAAGCCCTAGGTTACATTCTTTGCATGATACAAAACTGGGCATGGTGGTACATGCTTGAAACCAGCACTCAGATGGTAAAGTCAGATCACTTCACTTGGTAAGTTTGAGGTGAGCCGGAGCTCATTATAGGAGACCCTGTCTTAAAAAACAAAACAAAACAAAATGTAAAAAAAAGTTCAATTGGGCAGTGGTTAAGAGTGTGTATTGCTTTTACAGAGGACTCAAATTCAGTTCTTAGCCCTCAGGTCCAGTGGCTCACAACTGCCTGTAATTCCAACTCAGGGAATCTAACACCCTCTGTTGGCCTCTTTGGGCACTGCACACACATCTGTGTAAACAGAGACACACACACAAACACAAATTAGAAATAAAAAGTTGTAGCCAGGCATGGTAGTGCATGCCTTTAATCCCAGCACTTTGGAGGCAGAGGCAGGTAGAGCTCTTTGAGTTCTAGACCAGCTGGGTCTACAGGGAGACCTTGTCTCAAAAAAAAAACCACACACACACACACACGCACGCATGCACACACACACACACACACACACAC